ATACATACATATACATATACATATACATACACATACATATACATACACACATACACACACACACACACAATCTTATTGTACACAGTCTTATTTGGGAAGTTGAAAATATTCCTGTAAGCAAAATAGTATTGTTTCAAATTCTTCATTTGCCATTCTTTTGAACAGATTTTAATCCCTTTTGTTCTTGTGATGTGTGCTTTTGAAGCAGTTCAGTTAACTACCCAGTTATCATCCAAAAGGTAAGATAAATTTCTAAAGGAAGCATTTGGCATGCCCATTTTCAGGAAACGAGAGTAAGCATTTGAGGGTATTTCATGTGATGGCTGTTAAGTTGCTGTGACATAGATTGTTTACTATAAAAATGAGGGAAATGTTTTACTCTTATAATCAGTGTTTAGTTATCATTAGAAGAAATTTGTTGATTTGGGCCTCCAGCAGCCTGAAGTGCTTTCTCAGTGTTAATGTAGTGGACTATTACTCAAGGTAGGAAAGAGGCTCCCTAGGAACAGCAAAACGTGAATGTTAACTGAATATGGTTAGTGACTCGTTTGTCATAGATAAAACTGCTGACAAAAAAACGGGGGCTATCGCTCTCACTACCTCTTGACTTAGTTCTTAGTTGTGTACAGTTTGGACAAATATATTAACATTATTTCATGTTACATGGCTTCAAATGAACTTTTCTGAGTGTCAGTAATTTATTTAGTCTCTCAGTCTTGATTTCCACGTATTTGGCAAATGGAGTTGGAAGTCTTCTTTCTGAGTTTTGGGAACTTTCTGGAGCAGTCAGTCTTAAGCAATCAAGACTTTAAGGAGAAGCTGTCAACTCAACTGTTTGCTCTTTTTAACCAATGAAATTGTCTCATCAGTACAGGACTGATCAGCCTCCCTGAAAGACACTTGAGATAAATATGAAGCTTCGTAGCAGTTTTGTTATTCTTGAAACAAATTGGCATATTCAATGCTGAAGGAAATAACTAATATCAGCATAAATTTGCATGTTCTTCCTGATGAGTTTAAGCTAGAACTGTGTCTAGCATATTATTATGCACATGGCATAATTTTAGAAAATGTTTTCCTTCCACTGTTTAAGAATAGTAGAAATTTCATTTCTCATTTAATTTTGTATATTTTTTGCAGGATATTTGTATGTAACATTGAAAGCATTTAGATCTTGGTCACGTCACATAGCAGAGTCTCTTCCCCTTAGTTACGCAGGTACATTAAAAGCTGTTGGTGTTGTTATTGTCAGCTGCCGTTGTCAATTCTGATTCACGGTGACAGGTTACAGAGTAGAACTGCTTCATAGGCTTTTCTTGGCTATAATCTTTATGGAAGCAGGTTGTCAACCTTTTCAGTTAGCAAAAGAGTTGTAGGAAATAATGCTGGAGAGGTAGGCCAGGGTCAGAGCGTGTGGAGTGAATTCTTTTACTGGCACCATTAAAGCTGGTGCTAGACAGTGCCTGCGTCAGGGTTGCTGGACTGTGAGTTCAGACTTTGAGTACAAAGGTTTCTGAGTGACCACTGCATTTTTTCAAACCTGTCATTAGAAAAACAGTTATTTCTTAAAAGCAAATCATAAACCTCAACCAAAACCTTCTACCTTATAAAATTAAGTCAAAAAGGATCATGAACAAGTCTTTTAGGAAAAAAACTAAGAAAATATCTGGGACCCAGGGCTAGCCAGAGAAGTAAATGTGACACCCAAACCATGATCCTTAAAAGGAGAAGTTAGTAAAATGAGTTCATCAAAATCAAAAGATTTGCTCATGACAGACCTTGTTAAGAGGTAGAAAGAGTCACAGACTGGGAGAAAATATTTGCAAACCACAGTGCTGACAGAGAAAGGCATATATAAAGAACTCTCCAGCTCAACAGTACAAAGAAATCAGTTGGAAAATGGGCAGACGAACTGGAAAGCATGTACAAATGGCAAATAAGCCAATGGAATGAAGTTCAACATCATTAGCCATTAAGGAAATGCAGATTTAAACCCCAATGAGATATCAGTATATATCTGTTGATATGGCTAAAATAAACAGCAACATCACTAAGTGCTGGTGAGAGTGCAGAGAAATTGAATCCTTCAGACCTTGTTGATAGGAAGGTAAGGTGTTACATCCATCCTGGGAGAGTTGGACAGTTTCTTAGGAAACTGAACATGCAGTTGCCATATGAAATGTACTCTTGGGGATTTTTTTCTAGAGAAATGAAAACTTATGCTTATACAAATGTTTATAGCAGCTTTATTTGTAATAGCCACAAACTGGAAGCAACCCTGATGCCCTTCAATGGTTGAATGGTTAAAAATAAAATAAAGGGAAGGAACTATTAATGTAAACAACAACCTCGATGAATCTCCAGAGAATTAGGCACCATGAAAAAGCTTGTACACTGTATGATTCTGTTTACATTCTTGAAATGACAAATGGAAAGAAATGGAAGAGAGATTAGTGGTTTCCAGGGAGGGTGGTGGTGGTGAGTGGAGGATGGGTGTTCTGGTAAAAGGCCATCCAAGGGGATCCTGGTAATGGAAGTGCTATGTATCTGGACGCTGTCTTTGTCTTTGTCCTGGCTGTGTGCTTACTGTGCTGAAGGAAGGTTGGGCAATGGGCAATCTACTTCCGTAGTGATACCGCCTTGGAAACCCAAGGAGGGGTCGCTATGAGTCTGGTCGACTGGACAGCACATAGCAACAATAACAGTTTTGCAGGATGTTGCCCTTGGGAGAGACTGGGTGTATGATTTCTCTCTATTATTTCTTACAACTTTTTATGAACCTACAAATTATCTTAAAATTTAAAATATCATCATTCATGTCCTTTTAATACTACAGAAAAAAAATATTAAAAGTCTTCAATGGCATGTTTGAAATATAGCCCACCCTGTGGGAGAATCACCCATTAGGTAATACGGAGATAGCTCTGGTGAAAATGGTATTTTCAGAAGCAAAAATACTAACAAATATTGGGTTATTTGGTTATTCTAACTTTCAGTGTGTTTTGAATGTGTGTTTTTTTAAAGTGCCTATTATATTTGATTTTTTTTTTCCATTTTTTTTCAGCCTTTTTCTCATTGTTCTTGTTATATCAGACATTATGGCTCTGGTAAGGTTTTACTGGATATTCAGTATAAATAAGATCAAGAAATTAAGTGCCGAACTAATTTAATAAAGAGCTATACGACTGCATTTTTATACATGAAATATTTAGGTATTGAGTTGTAAGTGTTGGCATAATTTACACATATACAGTTGTTTTATTTGTGTGAATTTTGTGTGACTCACTGTGCAGTGAGTGCTCTTCTTAAGAGTCAAAGGGCTTCGTGCTTGGTTTGTTCTCATCCGTCATTTTATATCTAGTATTTATATTGCGTTGTATCTGAAATGAACCTTCCATAGGACTTATTAAAAAATAGTTTAATTTTAGGTAGTGCATCATTTTCCTACTTGAAATGTTGATTTTTCAACCCTTCTTGCAGACTAAAAAGGAAGGGAAAAGGAGAAGGGAGGGAAGGAGAGTCAAGAAAAGAGGGGAGAAAGGAAAGAGGAAATACGGCTTTTTAAGTGAGTAGGTGTCACTGAGGGATGATGGGTGGAGGCTCTTACATACAGTGTGTTACCAAAATGAGGATCCTTTTTTAACATCTGCAAGTTTGAGAAATCTCCAAGACCACCCTCAGGTTGATGATTAGCTGGAAGGGCTCACAGAACACATTGAAAGCTGTTCCACTCTTGATTATGGTTAAAGGACACAGATTAAAATTAGCTGAGGGAAGAAGCAAATAGGACAGGGTCCAGGAAGGACCAGAGGTGGAGCCTTCAGTTGTCCTGGTCTGTGGAACCCGGACAGCGTTAGGGAACGTTGCCAGCCTGGAGGCTCACCGAAGCCTTGGGGTTTCTTGTTTTGGTGTCACTGAGGCTCAGTCACATGCTGGGCATGTGGCTGACCTTTATTCTCCGGCTTCTTCTGAGTAGAACTGATACCACAGCCACCACCATAAACTACACTGTTGACCATCTGGTGGTCAAAGCCCCTGGGCAAGCAGACAGTCCTACCACACATCCCTTCCCAAAGGCCTAGAGATTCCTTCCCGGTAGCCTCCTCTTAGGGTAGGGTTAATTCTTCACATCTTATGATAGAAGTGACTGGAGACATTGATTAGGGTAATTAAGCTGATTAGGCTGCAGATCAGTAGTTTGGTGGTTGGCACCCACCAGCCACTCCACTGGAGAAAGAGAAGGCAGTCTACCTCTAAGGACTGATAGCCTTGGAAACTCTACAGGGCAGTTCTGCTCTGTCCTTCAGGGTCACTTAACAGAATGGACTCGATAGCAACAGGTTTGGATTTAGATGAGAACATTTTCATGTTGTATTGAACTGCATATCGCTGTATTTCTGAAATTGACCACACATACTGTTAGAACAAATCAGCTGTCAAGTTTGCTAATAAAGGGGCAAATTGGAAGACAGAACATTTAAAATCTCGGTGATTAATTCCACGTGAAGAGTCAGATCGCTTACTGTCCTTTACAGAGCCGTGGTGACCTGGCTTCTGCTTGCTGAACAGCCCTCATCTCTTCCCCCCCTCCCCGCTTTCTCGCTACCTGCCTCACCTCAAACCTGTCCAGGTCTGTCAAAACTCTTGACATTAATAAAGTCTACTCCCTACTGCTCTTTCAGCTGACTCCTACTTTTCCTTTAAATTCCAGTTTAGGAGCCACTTCCCACAGGAAGTATCCCCTTAAACCCCAATAGGGGAGTACATGCCCCCAAACTCTGCACTCTTCACAGCGGTGCTTGTATTTTCCAGTAGGAACATTCATCACACTGTGTGTGTAATTGCCTGATAATTGGACTGAGTCATTCACAAGACCATGCACCTCATGAGAGGACTCTGTCTCTAGGACCTAACACAATGATGAGCACATAGGAGGCAATCAATAAATGTTTGTTGAATGGGTGGATGTTACGGATTCTTTTCACTTAATATCTTTGGTATCATTTAATGTCTTTAAAGTTGGCTGGTTCTTTTTTATTTCTGGCCCTTCACAAATATCACTCTTATGTTCATCTGATTAAATAGTTCTGTTTTTAGATGAGGAACTCTGGTGGCCTAGTGCCTAAAGCACTTGACTGCTAACCAGAAGGCTGGCAGTTCAGACCCCCTGGCCACTTCTCAGAAGGAAGATGGGGCAATCTACTTCCCTAGAGATACAGCCTGGGAAACCCAATGAGGGGTCGCTATGAGTCAGATCTGACTCAGTGGCAGTCACTTTTTTTGAGTTTATTTTTCAGACTATTGTTTATTTTATTAGACGTGAACATTTCAGCAATATCAATATTTTATTGATAGTGAAGGGTCAGAAATCTGAAACACATATTCCTAGAGCAACTTTGTTTTTAAATCAAATTAAATTTCTTTTAATTAATGGAACCATATTTTATTTTCTAGCATTTTTTCTTCTTGGTCAAGGATTATGGCAGCTGGCTTGACATTGGAACAAGGTATAGTATATATTCACAGAAGTTCTTAAGAGTACAGCAAAAAAAAATAATAATTTGGGTGGGAAGAGAGCTGTTATATTATTACAGTCAATGTCCTGAAACAAAATGTGTTGAATGTTGAATGGAAAATGAATCTGCTCTGTAAAGTTTCACCCAAATCACAATAAAATAAATAAAAGTAAGTTGGTATTGTTACCCCAAGAAGGCACCAAAGTGATTTGAGGGAAGCATAAGGAGGAGCAGTCTTTCAGCCTCTTCTGAAGGTGAGACAGGTCATCTCCTCCATTCTTCTTGGTGTTGACACATCATCAGGGTTCTGGAACGTAGGAAGAGGGAGGTAGATGCTGAGTGTGGAGAGGACAGGGCACAGCAGGAAGGTGGAGAGGAACGAGGTGATCACTCCTGTGCCCTTGTGTGTTTTCTCTCTGTCACTGTTCCTCTCTCTGTTTCTGTCTCTTTCTTTCACAGTGAGGCTCTGCAAGTTGCAGTATGAATTTGATGTGGTGGCTTAAGTCCCATGTCATTATTATCTGCTTCTTAGGGTCTTTAGATGTTTAGTATGAGACGATTTTAACATGTGCAGCTTTGTTATTTAGTGCATCAGAACGCAAAGTCACCATTTCCTCTTCAGTGATTTCAATGTCAGTGATGGCCATTATCTGTTAAGTTTATTTTCTTTGAGAAGAAAGCAGAAAGATTTGATTCTTTTGCCTTTTTGTTTTCAAATTTTTTCTAATGCAAACTACATTTTGGCAGAAGTATTTCATTAGCCAGTATTTGTTCACCACTTCGTGTTGCCAGGAATTGTGATAGGTTTGGGTGAGACACCTGTGTTACATTGCCAGGAATTGTGCTGGTTTGGGTGAGGTACCCCGTGTTACACAGTCTCTGCTCCATTCATAGCTCTCAGGCAGCTCACTGCTTGTTACTTGCACCATATCTGCCTCCCCAAGGGACTGTGGGTTCCCTAACTCTGGGGTCTGATTCAAATCTGTTACATTCTGTATGTGCCAGGCCCATGAGAGGTCCTCTATCCTTCACTGATGTCGTTTCATGGTCTCTTAAGTTTAAAAGCTTAGAGAAAGTGTTGCTGTCACCTCCTCACCAGCCGTCCCATCCTAAAAGTGTCCAGTCAGATGATGAGTCAGAGTGGGGCTTTACACTGGACCACCCATGGTACAATTCCAGTTGTGCCGCCTTTTAGCTGTGAGACCAGGGACAGGTGACTGAACCTCTGAACTCCCCTTTTCCTTGCAGTCGACGTCAATGAATTAGTCCATGGAAAGCGTTCAGCATGGTGTCTGGGATCTGTCAGTAAATATCAGCCTTTACCATTGTTGTTATTCCATAGTCTGTGTTTTTTTATCCTTCATAGTGCTTCTTGCATTTGACATACTTCTCTTTATTCTGATTCATTTATTTTCATTTCAAATATAAGTCAGAATTTTATTGGTTTATAAATTAATTCAGATGAAATATATCGATTTTGTGTGTGAGACTTTTTCGATGAGTGAAATATTTTTTTTTGTTTTGACACTAAAAAGATGCAAAGAATAAAGAGGGTATTTTCACACAAAAATGTGTATCATTCATTTATGCACGCAGTCGCCTACTGCCTACGAGTGGATTCTGATTCATAGCGACCTGATAGGACATGGCAGAACTGCCCCCGTAGGGTTTCCAAAGCTGTCAGTCTTTACGGAAGCAGACTGCCCCATCTTTCTCCTGTGGAGCAGCTGGTGGGTTTGAACCATCAACCTTTCAGCTGAGCACTTAAGCACTGTGCCATCAAAGACCCTTAATTTATATTGCACTGATTAGAATTTCAGGAGCTCTGGTGGTGTAGTGTCTAAGGCATTTGACTGTTAACCAGAAAGCTGGCAGTTCGAGCCCACCAGCCACTCAGAAGGCCAATCAGGCAATCTAATTGCATAGAGATACTGCCTGGGAAACCCGAGGAGAGGTCGCTATGAGTTGAATTGACTCAACAGCAGTGAGTTGGGGTGTTTTTTGTTTTGTTTTGTTTTTTGTAATTAGAATTTCAGATTTTCTCTGGTTAGCTTGAGGTTTATCTTTACCTGGCAATTTTTTTCTTCAAAGTGCATATTTTTAGTATAATTACTAGTAATAGCATATAAAATACAAAGCATTTTTTTTTTTTGCCAGTGTTCTCAGTTGTATCCAGCAAATATTTGTTGAGCATCCACTCATGCCAAGGGGGTTGCTGGTGATGGAAAGGCACAGTCCTGGGCCCTCCGAGAGATTAAGGCTGGGGGAGAAAGCAGGTACACGAGCCAGCGACAGTGCAGACCGAGAAGTTCTGGATTCTCTCTGGGTTGCTGTGGGAGTGCTTAGTTGGGGAGGGTCTGGCTAAATACCACAGGTCTGAGCTTAAGAAAAGCCCATCGGGCCCCAAGACTGAGAAAGAATATATATAGTGAGAAGATGAAGGTGGGGCCTTAGGGACCTCTGATATTTAAGGGCAGAGAACAGGCAGTGCGGAAACAAGACTGAAAGAAGTACCAGAAAGAAAGGGCAGAATTAAACCAAAGCCTGTTGCCATGGAGTCGATTCTGACTCAGATAACCCTATAAGGCAAAAATCCACTGTCACCAAGTTAATCAACTCATAGTGACCCTATAGGATAGAGTAGAACTGCCCCATATGGTTTCCAAGGCTGTAGATCTTTATGGAAGCAGACCGCCTCATCTTTCTTCCACAGAGTGGCTACTGCATTTGAACTGATCACCTTTTGGTTAGCAGCCAAATGCTTTTAACCATTACACCACCAGAGTTCCTTCAGCGACCCTACAGGGAAGAGTAAAATTGCTCCATAGGGTTCCCTACACTGAAATTTTTACAGAAGTCAGCTCCTATGTCTTTCTCCCACAGAGAAACTCATGGTTTTAACCACTGACCTTTCGTTAGCAGCCAAGTGCTTAAGCACTTAGCCACCAGGACTTGTTAGAGAGAATAATATTGTGAAATTCAGAAGAGCATTTCAGGAAAGAGGGGTGTCATCAGATGTTCCAGAGAGGTTATGTAAGACGTAAGTGTGCACTGGGTTAAGCAGCAGTGGTAAAAGTGGGCTGCAGAGACGTGCTCAAACATGGAAGGACTTTTGCTAGGGCTATAGAGTCAGGGTGACTTCAGGCAAAGGTGATGAGGGAAGGAACGTGTAAGGGAGCCCCTAAACATACGTCTCCCTCAGCTGGGCATCTCCTTTGCTTATCTTGACTGTGTTGCTACTTTCACCCCCCAGGACTCGGGAAGAGATTTCCATTCAGCAGCTGTGTCCCCAGTTGATGACCTTTTCCCTCTTCCTGGCTCACTTAGGCCTTCATGCTCTCACTCAGCGGCTGCTTACGAAGCAGCTCTGTGTGCCAGCCTTTCTAACTGTGCGCATATCATCTCTTGTTCAGGTCTCTGCACTGAATGATCCGTCTCCTGTCAGTTCATCCTGGTGCCATTCCATTTATCACCATTTCTCCTTGTTCCCTTTCTGTCACCTCCATTCTTTCGTGTAAAACTTGACAATCAAATACCAGATCAAAACTCATCTTTCCTTTTTCTACCTCTTTTATGATGCATTGTTTCAACAAGAAGAAAAAAAGAATGGAAGATGGCTGGATGGATAGATAGAGGAGGGACAGAAGGATGAGTAGAGAGAAAATCTCGTTTAGCCTTTGATTTTCCTGCTTTCTGGCATCAGCCTCACCCTCTGACCCATTCTGTAATGCCAGCAGCCGTTGTTGCCCAGAAGAAATTACTCCATCTTCTTTGCAGTTTTTAAAGTTGCTTGTGTAAAGATAGTCACAATTTCCAATGGAAAATTCTGGCATGCCTCTGTTTAGCAATATGAAGATAAGCGGTTTTATAAGTAATTTAATAAAATCATGTTTATCTCTTCTCCCTTCTGGAATCACCAGAAGACCCCCAAAACTGTTTGGGGGATTGGATTGTTTTGCCACAGAAAAAATTCTACCCAAACCTGAGAAAACTCCAGATTAAACAGTGATTGAGAACACTTAAGGATTGTTTTAAAAAATTAGTAATTGCTATTAAAGTAACATTTATTGCATCTAATGTATTAGGGCTATACTTAATGTTATTTCGTTAATGATGATGTACTTATGTTATTTAGATTATGACAATGATGTGACGAAAATACAATTATTTCCATTTTGGAGAAGAGGAATCTGGGTCAGAAAGACTTAAGAATATGCAGTTATATGGCATGGCTAAATCTCATTTTTTAAATAGTACATGCATTAATTATATAGCTCATTTCCTCAAGGAAAAAAAAATACATATATTGAGCATTCCCCCATGTACAGCGTTCCCAGGCAGCGTGAAGCCCTCGGAGATGAGTGGGATTGCCCGCCTAGGACTTAGGGATGCTCTTCTCTGGCAATAACCACTTCCTCAGAATACTGGCAAGAGAATTCAAGCACTGAATGGAAGATTCCAATAGAAAACCTGTAAGGGGCATGCCAACCCTGGAATTACGGCCCCTGTGTTCAGGGAGGCTACGGAGTGACACGGGATGTGTGATGACATCATGACTAATCCGAGGCAGTGTGTGGTGAAGGACTAGATGCATACAGGAGGGAGGAGCCTTCACCTCAGGCTCCAGTGACTGAGGAAGCCTTGTGGAGGCCTGTGTCGCAGATGGCCCTTGAATGACGGCTGTCATTTCAATTAGGGGACTGAGTGGTTTGGGAAGGAGTATTTTAGACAGAGGAAATGGACATTAGCAAAGCTATAGAGGTGAGGAAATGTGGCTAGGGAGGGTGAGAAATCATTTCCATTTCAGAAGCTGTAGATTTTAGATAAAGAGAGTCCTGGAAAGTAGTCTTTTGGGACACGTCTTTGAATACTTCACAAGGCCTCCATAGGCATACAATGCTGTGTGCAGGACGGATGCTCAACACAGCTCTTTTTTCCTGAAGAAATGATCTCTGGCAGTGCATATGCCATGCAGAAATGAGGTCTAGCTGTGGCATGTCCCTGTCTAACCTTCGTCTCCTTCATGTGGAGCACCTCGATCACAAAGCTACAAGCACACCCTGCAGGCAGGAAGGTGAGGGGCTGCGTTCCTTGGCTGTCCTTGAACTTCAGTATTTAAGGGGACTCCTACGAGTGGCTGTCTGAAAGTGGAGTCTTCACTGTCGTGTATGTACACGTTTACCCAGTGAGGTGAGGGGCTGGGCCAGTGTGTGCCTGGAGGTCGAAGCACAAGCTGAATCAGCCTCGTCAGGGCCATGACAGTGGTGTCCTTGTTTGTTCCTGGCATCAGACCTTGGCAACCAGTCTTCAGTTCTCTCTTAATCCCCTGAAGTCATTTTGTGCTTCCAGGCATAGTTTTTTTCTCTTCTGTTTCCTTCAAGGTCAGTCCTCCAGGCTGCAGTGAGATTGAAAATGCCCTTCACAACGTCACAGGACTTTGCACCAAGCCCAAATTGCCAGCTTTTACCCTCTTTTTCCTTGATAGTTTTAGAAAGATGCTTTGAGCCATTGTAAAACTGGAATGTGGTATCCAGCATGACATTCCTGGCCCTTCTGTGGCACCTCCAGCCCTGTTCCTTACATGCCTTTATACAGCCAACATGGGAATAAACTGTTCGCCAGAGCACAAAATCATAGCCAAAGAGAGACTACAGAGGCATGGTGAGTGACATCATTCAAACTAAAGACATCAGAATGGTGCGTTCGCACTCTTTGACTAAGAATGTTCTGATAACCCCCATTCTGCAGTACTCTGCCAGCTGTGAGACAAGTGTGTGAACTCCGTGGGTCAGATCTGTAATTAATTTGTGTGTTTATGTTAAAATATTATATAATCAGTGTTATATGGGACACATGTGCTATACAGATACTTTGTGGTGGTAGTGTTTTTTATGATGGCCATTGCCATATGTATGTGCTGACCGTATGTCTTGGTTTACCTATTGTCCTGATGTAATTGTTATACTGCCATCTGTAATAATGCAACAATAGAAGGAGCTCTGGTAGGGAAGTGGTTAAGGCATAGCTGCTAACTAAAGAAAGTCAGGGGCTCAAACCCACCAGCTGCTTTTTGGAAGAAAGATGACGTAGTCTGCTTCTGTCAAGATTTTCAGCCTTGGAAGTGCTGTGGGGGTTGCTAGGAGTCAGAATCGACTCAATGACAGTGAGTTCTGTACATTAAAAATATAAAGTGGATGGGAAGATAATAAAGGCATAACCAGTTAATAAGTTATAGTAAACCTTAGTCTGTCTCGGTTTCAGGGATTCACCACCAGGGGTCTAACTCCCAAGGGTCAACGAGGTGCTTTCTTTGGGGGACTCCAGGGAAACAGGTCGAATAGGGGCCACAGAGCTCTGTCCTGCTTGTCAAGCTGAGGGCATTGGACCATCCTGCATACGTTGCCCACATGCTCTCCTGGTTATTCCTGTGGAATTGCTGTCTCTGTTTGTCTTCTTTGTCTCATATTTTATCATCCCAGAGATGCCACTTTAAGAAGGAAGATGACTGTGGAGAGGAGGGTGAGTGCAGGATGCAGAAACAAAAGCTGAGTTTGCCAGGTTGTGCTCTGCACGCTCTTGTGCCTGCTGCTGCCCTGTCTGGTTAAATTCTAAGGTCTTCTCCGTATCTCCCCTGAAGCTCCCATGGCATCTACTGCACAGGTAGCCGTGTGTGTGACTAATGGGCCAGGGCAGCCCTCTGTCTTCATAAGCATCTAATTTATCGCCAGCAAGGGCTTGGAGAGTGGAGGAATAGTCTTCAAGATTGGGTTCCTACGTAAAAGCTGCATTATTAGACGCTTCGTTCTGCTTTCTGTCTGTGGCAATGTTGCTCTTCAGCCTGGGGTTGCTGATTAGTCCGGTATGGAGGTATATGTGAGTGGCCGCGGTGTTCCTCATGGTGCTCGTTCGATTACCCTTATGCTGGAGCTCTTGCAACGGGAGCCGGGTGGATTGAAATTGTGCCCCTGCAGTGGTTTCCCTTTGTGACGTATTTCATTTTTGAACCCCTATGTATTGGTGATATAGTTGGTAACTTCAGCCACTGCGTGCCTTTCAGTCACAGTCGTGGAAAGGCGTCCTTTTGTCCTTGCCATGTCATTGCTCTGTGAATGCTGAAATGGTGGAGATGTGCCCAGGGTTTTAGGGAAGAGTGGAGCCACTGACCCCGTGACTGTGGCCTGGCATGTTCCGTAGCATTTATGCTGTTATGGTGGTGATGGCAGTGGGTTTTCAGAATACTTTGCAGAGATTCCTCAGCTACCAGTTTCAAGTTAATAAAGTAAAAAAGAAAACTTGCATTAGTAGGACATGAGGCAGTATCTTTCTTCAGATGTTCAGTACTCTGTTTAAAATGCATCTTCAGAGCAGTTTTACCAAGGGGAAACAGATTCCAGGAGGGTGGTGGAGTCACTAGTTCCCTGGGGCTGGAGGGCGGGTTCAGTGTCCTCTTGAGAGCCTGGTGGTGTCAGGCATGGGAGAATGTCCTGCTCAGCCCGTGAAGTCAAGCTGTGGGGGCTGACAGAACTAGCTTAGGGTTTTCTTCTTTGAATCTTTTACACTTTATCTTCATTCATAGCCAGTCATAAACTTTACAGAGTGTATGGCATCCTGAAAGAAGTGTGTTTTTAAAACTAGAGCAAAATCTTCTTTGAGATAATCTTCATAATTAAAGAAGCATATGGTTGAATTAAGTTTATGTTCTAATGTGTCTGTAGGGAGGTGAGTAGAGACTTCTCTGGCGGTTTGATTGATTGGACGGTGGTGTTCATCTGGGCTTCAATGCTTCCTACATGGACTCGTACTCAAACATAAATAACTAAAGATTTAGCATTTCTGTCCAGATATAATGAAAACTCAGGATTCTGCTCAATAATCGTTAAATATTCTCCTGAAGGTAATTAATAAGTGTCATAAAATGCCTTTACTTTTACAAATATCAAGCTTCATTAACATCAACAGTTCTCAGCCTTTTTCCAGTGCTAATCCTTCTGACAGGTATGACCCACTTCTGTTACCCGTCACCCTGGTTGGGAAGAGGTACCATCAACCTTTTGTCACGTGTTGTACAGGCTGAAAAGGCCTGCTTGGTGATTGTGTTTGCACCTGTACACATAGCCCCACCCCTCTCTATCATCACACAGGCGCACCTTGATAATTGCTGATTTAAATGATATTGAAATGGCCATGGGAGGGGGATGTGGGAATAGCTAAATTTACTTTACGTTGAAATGTGATGGTCCTTTGACTCCGCCATGCTAAGATGATGCTACCACTTGATAGTTGGAAAGTGTCATGAAGGGGCTGCTTTATGGCTTAACTGCATGAAGGTGAGGAGCTTCCTGTCTCCTGCCAGTAATGTCAGCTGCCATGAGTTGGAAGTCATTACTTTCAGGCCATTGGAAGGAGATAAGTGCTCTGGGCAGTACCTTTTGTAAACCGGCTTTCCATTACATTTGAGGGTGGGTCACATGCTGGTCCGACAGAACTTATTTCTATTAAGAGATCAAATTAGATTTAATATTTTGGCCTGAAAGTTATAATAAAATTTAACAGAACAAAAATTTGCTACGATGTAATCTTGTCTGCTTTTTTTTTTTACAATATTATCAAGATATAATTTGCATACTATAAAATTCATCCATTTTAAAGGTACAATTCAATGATTTTTAGGAAATTTATAGTTGTGCAACTATCACCACAATCTAGTTTTTGAATATTTCTACCACCCAAAAAACTCCCCGATGCCTGATGGATATGTCTAGAAGACGGGAAAGTGGTGATAATGGAAAGGGTGTGAATAGTTGCTAAAGTAGAGTCCTTTAGTGAGGAAGTTGAGATCACTGTGGACGTGGAAGGGCTTGTTCAGACAGGAGCAAGGGCAGGAGGAAATACGGGCACAGATATGAGCAGGTTTGCAACTTCCCATAGTTATTAAAACTTAAAAATATGGTATTGAACTATCCCTCTCTGTTAATGGATACGTGGCTGTCTTGATGCCTTTCCTCTCACATGGTCTCCCTGCTTATGATGTGTTTTCTTTTCCTCTCTTGTAGCATCAGCCACTATGTGATTGTCATGTCCATGACCATATTTCTGGTGTTTCTCAATGGCCTAGCCCAACTGCTCACGACGAAGGAGCTCAGACTGTGTGGGAAACCCAAAAGCCATCTCATATGATGTTGCCGAAGTCGCCTCCGCATCTGGGTCCCATTGCTCGTTCTCTCTGGACACTCGGGTGTGCCACAAAATCCCATCAAAGGTTCAGTAAGAAGATGGATATGAACGCACAGCGGAGTCTACTCTTACAAAGGAAATTATGTGCGGAATTCTGAATTTAGTGGTTATGGGGAATAAAGGAGTTTCCTTTGTCTTCATGTGTTGCCTGCAGGAAACAGTGGGGACGTCTGGAGAAGCAGTCCCCATTTCCCGTCACCCGGCAGCGCCTCTCACCCATGTTCCGTAGCTTCGCCTGCAACAGACCAGCCCCAACTGCACAGCTTCCCGTGAACCCCAAGGAGCATGTGCTCCTGAGGGGCAGCACTGACTGCGCCCCAAATCAGGGCTACGGCTGAGCTTGAAGGCAGGTTCCAGGGGCGCCATAAGCATTTGTCACCTCTCAGCACTAGATCTGCAAGTAGTGTAACTGCTAAACCACATCACGAGACAGACAACCAGGATTTGTTATTTGGAATTTCCTAAAGCTTCAGTAGAAAGCAGTGCTTGCAGGTACTTGCCATTTTTCTTCAGCATGCGACACTGCTGTCATCTGCTTCTTCTTGTTGTTTGATTGATGGCATTTACATCGTCACCCAGTTGAACCAAGGTTTGACCTTCACATTTTCCCCCCGTTTCTGGATTCTCAAGGCATTTTTGGCAATAGAAAAGTAGAGAGTGCTTGGTGTTTGTGTCTAGCCCATGGAGGAAAGTTTAGAAAGAAGTAGTTTTTAATTGTAGACTCAACATCTGGCATGCCTGTAGCATTGTTTCAACAGGATTTTTTAAATCAATACTTAAACTTTCTGACAATGTCATAAGAATTAGTATGAAAATTACTGTCTTTGTGGGTGTGAAATTCTAACTTGAAGCCCTGAAATCCTCTCATTAAATTTTGATTTTCATTTATAAACCAGTTCTCATGGAGGTAGTAGTCTGAGAGCAGTTTTTATGTGAATTCTCCATAAAAATGACCTTTACACATCACCATGGACTTGGCCTTTTGCCCTAGATAGCTATTCTTCTTCTTCTTCTTCTTCTTTTTTTTTTTTTTTGGCACAACATGATGTAGTATACCAGTAGCTTTTGGCTGATGCTAAACTTTGCTGGTATGGGTCCTATTTTAAAAAAATGATTGCTTTTGAATTGAATTATAGCATTACTAATTCATGTTAATGACTAGGAAGCTCTCTACAAATTACTAGATTTTTCAAATGGGTGGATGAGTGAACAAATACAATGTAGAAGACTCAAAGATCAGTTTGACAAAATGTGCTTCCTTCATTTTTAGTGATGAGGAAGCTTGGTTATACATTATTTGTGTTAATACTTTATGGTACAGCAGAAAAAACACTACAATACCCAAAAGGAAGGTGTGTTGATGCTGATGCATCGGTCTGTAATAGACGTGTGGATGCCTGTGCGTCGGGCTGTAATACACAGTCTACGTAGACAGCTAAGGAGGTGCTGCAGCAGCAATGGCATTGGCAGGTAGAGAATCCGTGAGCTGTTACATTGCCTTAGAGGATTCTTACGAGTTTTTCACAAGTCAGAGAAAACTGATCTTCTAAACACTTATATTTCACTCTTCACATCTAGTTTTGCTTTTTGTCTTTTCCCGGACTTTCACAGGAAGTGATGGATCTTTTATGCAACACTGCAGTAGGGGCATGCTGCTCTCTCTTTCCTTTGCTCTCTGAGGCATGCTTGGTCTTGGTGTTGCTGAGTTGCTTTGGTGTGAACTTACAGAAGGGGAGAATGCGCGTGCCGTGACAGGCTGGCCCTGCCGCACAGTCCCCCGACCTCTCAGACTCACCAGCAAACAGGGTTTGCTACAGGGGCGTTTCCTACTGCACAGTTTATCAAATATCTCAAAATGTTTGGAATGTCTATTTTTATATTGCATATCAAGAAAAAATAAACAATATTTAAGTACATTTTATTTTTACTTTATTTTGTCTTCTGTGTCAGATTTCCACATCAGAACTTAAGACGTCTACTGACTAACACTGTTTTTTATGTAGGAATTAAAGTAGGCATATCAAGTTGAGAAAATGCTGAACAATAAAACAGTTGTGCCATGTCACGTGAGCTGCTGCCTATCTATAGCTTACCAGTGGGTTGATAGTCTGTATTTTATAGTGCAGCATTTTGAACATAAAATGCTTCTTAGTGTTTATGTGGTAGTTCTGTTTTCACAATAATCCTTTTGCTATGATTTGTCAGTCATGGAACTGAAATACATACCTAGGAGCTGTAGTCTTCTAGCTATCACATATGATAACCTTTCTCGTGGAAAACTCATTCCAGTTTTAGCTGACTCAGATAGGAACATGTATGTTATCCCCCCGTACACACACACACACACACACACACTGGATTTAACTCCTCTGTGGTCTTTCTCCTCCAAACCCTTGTTTCGTTGTTAGATGCCTCTGAGTCGGCTCAGACTCACGGCAACCCCGCGTCTAACAACAAACTGTGGCCTGGTCCAGTACCATCTTTGTGACCACCCGTCTACTGATGAGAAAAACAGACAAATGCCAACACAGAGGCATTCTACAAAGTGCCTGACCAGTACTCCTCAAGGTTGCCAGTGTCATCAAACACAAGGAAACTCTGAGAAATGGCTGCAGCCAAGGAGCCCTGACTGCTAAATGTAATGTGGGTCCAGATGGATTCCTGGAGAAGGAAGAGAAAAAGATGGTCGAAGGAAACCTGAACAGAACATCAGTTAATACAAGTCTACCCCAACATGAGTTCATCAATTGTGACAAAATAAACCGCAGTATTGTAAGGGGATGTTAATAGGGGAAATCCGGGTGAGGGCTAGAAGGGAAGCCTGTACCATCTTCACAATTTTTCTGTGAATATGAAACTGAAAAGATTGTTTTAAAAATCAATTGTAATTTTAATTTTTTTTTTTTTTTTAAATGTCTACTAGATGCACAGTTTTACTATATGCATACCAAAAAAAAAAAAAAATCCACTGCCGTTAAGTTGATTCCAATTCATATCAACCTTACAGAACAAGAGAACAGCCGCTTAGAGGTTCCAAGGCTGTAAACCTTTATGGAAGCAGACTCCCTCATCTTTCTTCCGTGGAGCGGCTGGTGGGTTCAAACCTCTGACCTTCTGGTTAGCAGCTGAATGCTTTAACCACTGCACCACCGTAGCTCCTTCTGATATGCATAAGTGCTGTCAGATAAGCTGGAAGTTGAGTTGGTAGCTAGGTCATTCCTTGGTTTTCCTGTTTATCATCTCCCTCTTTGTCATCTTCTCTGTTCCATCACTCCCCTCTCTTAGCCATGCTAGCAATCCAGCATGCATTCTAATATATTTTCCTTCATGAATTAGTTTCCATTGCTTACATGTTCAATATAAATACAATGTGAGTGTGTAGTGTCAGCTGTGTGACTGCTGAGTACTTTTCTTGTGGGAACTGTCCCTCCATTCCTAACCTCATGTCTCTGGCAAGGACTAACATGGGTTGGTAAGACTTCTCTCACCACCATTCCCTAGGGTAGGTGTGTACATCTGACCCAAGCAAGACCAGTCTGAGTTCTCTGCAAGATTTTCAAGCTATAACTGTGAGAAAATGTCTAAGATGTGAAGAGCAGAGGCTGTTGATGGCCAAGTTCTCTGGCTTGTGCAGGAAGGGAGGCTGGAGAAACCAGTGTGCAGAGGAGATGGCTCCTTGTGGGGCCAGAGTCATTGACTCCAGTTGTCCTGACACCCAGCTGCATCTGTGACTTTATCTTATAGTTTGATTGTTTATTTTTTCCTTTAATTAAACGAAATACTCCAGTCGTTTTCCAATAATATCCCCGTAAGCTAGTTCAAGCTGGACTCCATCACTTGCCACCAAGAGTCCTGGCCAATGGAGAATGCATGTTACCACGAGGGAAATGCTTATTCTTCATCATTTCCAGGGATGTGAAGTCCTAGATGTAAACTTGAGAAAAAAGAAGCAGGGAGGGTCAAGGCAATAGGCAGATTTTATGTTTGACGCTGAGTTACTGAAAGTTTTTCAGCGTTCTTAAGGCAACTTAGAGAATATTTCAATGGAAAAATAAGCTGGGTCCAGTGCTCCGCCTGTTGGCGTGTGCTCCTTAACATCGGTCATACTCATCACATCCTTTGCCAGTAAGAAGAAGAGATTGTTTTACTGCTACTTCTAACGCCCTGAATGGATGATGATAAGTCCCAAGTTCCACCTGAAATGTTAATTTTAATATATGTTCTTCTTAGTTTATGCTAAGTTGGAATTGATGGAGCAGAATGGTTCAATGAAAGCCAGTTCATAACCCTGGCTTACAGTATTACAATCGGACCTAATACTGAACACTGTTTCGGTATTACGTAATGCAAACAGTAATTAAAAACCTCAGCTTTACATAGCCTCTGTCTCCAAGAAATGCAGAAAGCTTTTTACACATCCATCCCTCCAAAAACAATTCTCTCATTGATGCTACTGGAGGAAAACTCGCATGAAATAATCAAGTATTTATAGAAAACCTACATGTGCCAAGCCCCGTGATGGGGCTTTACCTTCATTATAAGTGAATCATTGCAACCGCTGTGCTCAGCCAGACCTCGAGGAGTCTGGTCTAGACTCAGACTGGGAAGAGGGCATCTTAGATTCTGCCCAAGTTGGCTCTTTACACTTCCACTTCTAACTTGGTTGTGGCAAACATTGCTGAGTGCCCACCCAAGACCCTCTTCCCTTCTTGTTTACATTCAGGACCCTGATTTGGTTTGCAGCAAAAATGTGCCAGATAAAAAATAAATAAATAAATCCCAACCTTCTTTGCAGTGAGGGATGCCAAGGTGACAGCACTGGTCAACGGGCGGTAAGCCGAGTCCCTGGGCGGGGTGTCTGGGAAAGCTCTTAACTCAGTCACTTTCCTTTGTGCCCTTTGCCCATATCCTTTTTCATGACTGTATGTAGACAGGATGCTGGA